CGGGTGCCTTCCCAACATCGAAATCAAGAATGTCCCCGAACTGCCTCGTAAAGTCTCTCTTTCTCCCTCTCTTACGTCGCTCTCTTGCTCCCTCTCTCTCTCTTTTCTCTCTCTCTCTCTTTCTCCTCTTCTCTCTTTCTCTCTCCGTTTTTCTCTTATATTTCTTTCCCTCTCGCAGACTCTTCTACCAGCCTTCAGGAACGACTAAAAGCAGAAAAACCAGAGAGGACTTAATCTGAGACTCTGCTCTCTCTCTCTCTCTCTCTCTCTCTCTCTCTCTCTCACTCGCTCTCTCGCTCTCTGACAAACCTACCCATAGTCTATAGAATGCGCCAATTAATTGCGGTACTTTCCTTAATTAATTGGATTCACCTCTCCGTGGATGTCTATCGTAATGGTATACCCTTCGGTCCGAAGACAAATTTGTTCGACTTACCGCCGGTAATCTTATCTGACCGAGCGAGAATTAATCGTTACACAAGCGGAGACGATATATTTTGTGCACATCGACGCGCGTCGATGCGACAATCGGTAATCAATAACTAACAATATAAGTTTCGCGAGTTGCTTTTTTAGCCGATGCGCATTCGAAAATGTAACCGCTTTCGTTCAGGTCAAGCACAATTACGACGCTCGCATATGTTCTCATTGAAATACGTCGAAACAAAATAATTTGTTTGCTTGCGCGTTTTCCAATTGGAACATCGATGAACTAAATAAATAGACAATTATGTAGGGCTCCGTGTAAGTTATTATATTCGGTATAACTGTGTATCAACAGAAGAATAAATCAAATAAAGTGCAGTTAACTCTAATCGGTAATTTTTGAGAAATTAAAGAAGAATCGCGATTAATTAGGTAAAATGATCCACTCGACATTTATGATCGGAACGAAGAAAATGAATATCGAACTCCGAATCGGGCCCGGTTCAATTTCATCGAGTTTTCTAATTGAGAAATTCTCGACGGTCCTTTTCTGGAGGATAAATTTCGACTGGTTGACTCATTGTTAATTTATATGAGCCGTTTAGTTCGAGGTTGACCTAAAGTCCATTTTCCGAAAACACATCGAGCTAGCTATTTTAATATTTACATTTCTACGTTACACATAATTTCATTTCGCTTGTGTCTTGTTAGATTGTACTACCACGTTAACGGTTACCAATATTTTTAAATGTGTATTAAAACAGAAAATCCTGAGATACACGTCTGCATTTTAAAATAAATGTGCTCGGGCCAGTTTGAAAATAAACGGCTCGTATCATCTATTCCCGCGATCTCGATAAAGTTTCGCGAAACGGTATCACTCCGAGCACCACTTTAGCAGTTATCGAAACAGAAATCACAAGCGAGTCTAAAAATATCGTAATTTCATGGCCGTCTACCGAATGGCTACGGACTAGTACGTACACGTAATGAGCGCTATCAACGAGAAACTTGTATCGCAAATATGACAAACAAGCGGCAGAACTATCCTCGGAATCCCCTGTTTCCGTTTCGCGACGTCCGCTTTCCGCGAGTATTGCGCGCAACGATGTATTTACCTGAGAAAGTAGCAACGGAAGAAGGCACGGCGATAACAACCCGAAACTAATACCGCCGCACCGACTCAAAAGATGATACGTCCGTGCTATTTGCTCGTTCCAGTTACCCCCGTTACCAAACTCCTATACTTCCGATACCTATTTAGCCGCCGCCGCGGCGGAGCATTCGCGACGAAACTTCGACGGTTCGTCCTGAAACGATGACCACCGTTCCTCCCGTATCCCATACCGAATAAGGAAGGCAAGACTCGTTTGTGCATCGCAGTTCAAACGGTAATAGTCCGTACTTACGTGTCGTGTAATCGTTCGCAATACCAAATAATCTTGACATTTTTCTCGAGGAAACCAACCGCCAGATTTATCGGCCACCATTTTGTCGAACTTTTTTCGGGGCTAACTATTAGGTCGCGGTGCGTATGAAATGTCGGATTTTTCAGTGAATATATAAAACTGCATATCTTTTTTTCAAAAGCTGTTTATTTCATCAAAATATGCTCCATTCGCTTCAATACATTTTGTTTCCAACGAGATTTTAGCGCATAGATGCCTGTCTTAAAGAAATTCTGATCTTTAGAATCGATAAACTCTGACATGGAATTTTTCAGACTGTCCTCATTTTCATACTGTTCTAAATGTTTGAACAAAATGAAAGTCTTGCACTTTTCCCAACGAGATTTTAATGCATAGATGCCTGTCTTAAAGAAATTCTGATCTTTAGAATCGATAAACTCTGACATGGAATTTTTCAGACTGTCCTCATTTTCATACTGTTCTAAATGTTTGAACAAAATGAAAGTCTTGCACTTTTCCCAACGAGATTTTAATGCATAGATGCCTGTCTTAAAGAAAAAAAAATTCTGATCTTTAGAATCAATGAATTCTGATATGGAATTTTTCAGACTGTCTTCAATTTCGTACTGTTTAGCCAGTAAAAACTGTTCTAAATGTTTAAAAAAAGTGGAAGTCGGTTGGCGAAAGATCCGGCGGATAAGCTGGGTGCTGCAAAATTTCTTATTTTCATTCATTTAATTTCGCAATTGTTTTGTACGACGTGTGCGACCGAGCTTTGTCGCGGAGAAGTATTGGGCCATGCCGACTAACAAGCGATGAGCGTATAATTTTCAATTTTTCATGCATTTCATCGATGTACTGGCGGTACTTTTCGGCTGTAATTGTCTCCCCAATTCGAAGGAATGAGCTGTGAATTACTCCAGTCACATTCGTTTCCACCGATGCTTTCAGAGTATCATTTTTCACAGACGTTTTGGGTCTCCCACGCGGTTCATTTTCTAGGAAAAAATCACCAGACTGAAAATTTTCAAACCAACGCTGCACTCTTCGATCGTTAACAGTACCCTCTCCAAACGCCTAGTTTATATTGCGTGCAGCTTTTGCAGCATTATTATCAAGTTTACACTCGTATAACGAAATTACACACGAATATCGGTTGACTTCGTATCCTCGCGAAATTCAAAACAAATAACAAAACGAAACACTTTTGAGAAAATCTTCTTTGTCGAAATGCGACTCCGGCAATGGACAGTACGACCATAAACGAGATTCTGCCGAAAACGAAAGCATAACGAAAACAGGGAGACGAACGTTCACATGTATAGAAAATCGGACATTTCATATACACCAACCTAATACAGTAATGTCTCTCTAATTAACGCTCAGATTATGTACAAAAATGGACAATTTGAGAAGAGTAGATACGATTATTCGAGTCTTGCAGCTCGTTCTTATAGTTGTTGATAATTCGTAACTATAAAACGAGTCGCAAGACATAATTCAATCGTATCTCCTCTTCCAGAATTGTCCATTTTTGTGGATAATCTGAGCGCCAATTAGAGAGACATTACTGTATAAATGAAGAACTACGGCAGAAGAAGCAACTACTTTTCATATTACAATAATGTCTCCTTTACTGACGCTCAGATCGTCCACAAAAATGGACAATTTGGGAAGAGGCGATACGATTGTTCGAGCCTTGCAGTTCGTTTTTATAGTTACCAATTGCCAATAAATATAAAAACGAGCCAAAATGCTCGAGTGATCGTATCTTCGCTACCTAAAGTGTCCATTTTTGTAGACAATCTGAGCGTCAATTAGAGAGACATTACTGTATTTTCATGACTTTATAATTAAAATTAGTTATCGTGTCGCATTCGTATTACAAATCGCATCGAATTGTTCATAAACACCACAATCTGAATCTAGACCACGTGAAAATCGCTTATAGGAAAAAAAGAGGAGCATGCCACTAAAATAAACGCGATCGGCAGTCGCGTCTAAAAACGCGTCGCGCGCACCGAAGTCTTCAGCTTCGAAAAAAGTGTTCGTTGAACGCGTTCGTTGAAATCGTCGATTGCGAATGAATAATTCGAAGATGTCCGATCGTTCCGAGAGACCCCACGATGGTGAGAATAATGTTGCACCTGCGCGCCGTCCCGCGGCCGGCCGTTTCTTCGTTTTCTGGAACAAAGGATCCGTACTTCTCGGTCGGCAGAATTTCGTAATAGCTAGTGCGAAGAATGGGAAAAGGAAATACGGCACGGAAGAGGGAAGACCATGGTCCACGGCCCGTGGTACGCCACGCCATGACACGGCACGGCATTGCAACGCGCCGCGCCGAAGAGACAGCGCAACGTGCACTTCGGGGTCGAGGCACGACGGCACGACAGGACCCGCTAAGTGGCAAAGTACACACCGGTCAGTCTGTGCCACCTTCATTAGCACCAACTAGCCGCGCGGCGGTAGGCTTAGCTAACCTTTTCTGCCTTTCTCGGTGCCGAACGGTGCCGGGATTGCCGGGAAGAGGGCCCCCAAGCATCGATGTAGGTACAACTCGCGCCATAAACCTCGACGAGATCTCTTCTCGGAAATATGCCTGCTCGCATACTGAACCACAAAACGGTTTGCCTACTGCATTCTGTCATTTGTCCCGATAACTGATGTCTCTGGTTAGTGCACGGCTTTCCGTGTCCGAGTCCGAGCCGACGGCGCGACGCGACGGCGACATTCTTCCGTGAACTTCGCCGACGATTGGCGCCTTTTGTCCTTACACAGGCGTCCCATGGAGTCCCGTGGGAATTTCGTGAGAATCCCATGAGTGGCCGATGAGAATCCCGCGAGAGTCGCGCGCGCGTATATCTGTGCGAATTCGTTCGTGGAAACGAACGCGGACGTAACCTGGAGGATATTAGTCCAACTTTGTGGAGATGATAAATTCGAATAGCAGTTGCGTGCGGATTTTCTTGCGCGTAAATCCGACCGATCGTTTTGTAGGGAAAAATGCGAGCCGGCGGGATACACGACGATAGAAACAGAGATTGCGAGTTTCATTTCGCTTGAACGTCCGCAGCAATTTTTTGCGTCGATAATAATGCGACGACTTGCAGCGACAGGGTTCGTTGCATATCTTTAATCGGTTTCGTTGTGTTCTTTTTGTTACAGAAAAACTTACGACACAATCCGAGGACTTCAGTAGGAAATTGTACATCTTCGCGGAAAAGAGTCAGCGATACATTTGCTTCAATAAACGGGGGCGACTTGTTGGCTTGGTAATTACACGGCTACCAATTAGTAGACATAATTCATCGGCGCGGCCGAGCGAGTAGATTTATACGCGACAGAAAATGCACCGGATTGCACAGATAGGACGTTTAGATTAATCGCGCGCGTTATCGCCGTCAGCAGTCGGCGACGGTGACTTGGAAATCTTACAAGCCGGAACGCTGTGACAGCTTCAAATAGGACAATCGTTTCGACATAGTAACCGAGCAATAGATTTGAAAAGATTTAACACGATACCCTCGAAAACGCGGGTATTTAGAATTTCGGCCTTTAAATTAATCGAATTCTACTTTTCACCAGTTTATAGAAACATTTTGGAAAATAGATTTTACTGTCAGTTTTAAAGTTTGCCATTTTTCTAAAAAAGAAAATTGAATCGATTAACACTGGATTTACGGAACCCGTAAAAATGATAATAAAAATAATTTTTTAATTTACGATTATTCATATCGTAAAGATACATTTATGAGTTATTTATACAATTTATATGTTATTTACGGCAAATGTTACAATAACGCTTGTTAAAAATCAGAGAATAAATGTCTTATTGCTACTTTCATAAACAAATACAAAACAGCTGTTTCTTGTGCTCCGTAAATCTAGTGTTGAAATCGCGGTAATCGAAGTCAAAATTAACCCTTTGCACTCGACCGGCGACTCTGAGGCGACACTAAAAATGTCTGTACCATTTTTTAAAAGAATTTTATTATTTTTGCATTCGATAAATTGTTAAGAAATAGAAATCTTCTGTAAGCAAACAGGTTAAATTTCCAATGCATCAAGTAAAAACGACCATACCAAATACCGTAGCTTGAAACAAACGCTTTCATTTTCGGGTCGAAATAGTCTCGACTGCAAAGGGTTAATGCACTACAGAAACGTCATTCATTCTTAAAAAGGTTGCTTTCCTACAATTTTTAATACCTCGCGTTGGAATATTCGATATCGCGTACACGGCAAATGCTACAATATTTAATTCGTAGCTCTCTGAAATGCTGGTTTCGCCAGCACGTAGATTCCCGCGATGAAGGTACAGTAATGTCTCTCTAATTGACTCTCAGATTGTCCACAAAAATGGACAATTTTGGAAGAGGAGATACGATTGTTCGAGCCTTGTGGCTCATTTCTTATGGTTATCGATTGCCAACAATTATAAAAACGAGCTGCAAGGCTCGAACAATCGTGTCTCCTCTTCCCGAATTGTCCATTTTTCTGCACAATTTCGGCGTCAATTAGGGAGACATTACTGTACATACAGGGTGTCCCAAAAATGTCTCGCAATCCGGAAATGGCGAGTTCCTCAGATCATTTGAAGCAACTTCTTCCTTTACAAAAATGTTCTCCGAGGCACCGTAAACGAGTTATTAACGAAAAACAGTGACCAATAAGAATCGAGTACGGCTGACGCGAGGCGCCGTTGGCTCGACCGGCTCGCGCCAGCTAAGCTGGGATTCGACCGCCTCGACCGCTGGCGCCGTTGGCTCGGCCACCTCGCGGTAGCTGATCTCGCCTCTCATAGGTCACTGTTTTTCGTTAATAACTCGTTAATGGTGCCTCGGAGAACATTTTTGTAAAGGAAAAAGTTGCTTCGAATGACCCGAGGAACCCGCCACTTTTGGATTGCGAGACATTTTTGGGACACCCTGTATTTAGGAACATAGGTGAGACAGCTGTACATTGATCCGAGAAAACAGATCGTAGTCGAGTTAATGGGGAAAATAATTAAGACGTCTGTGTTGTCTGTTTGCAGCGAAAGAAACAGAAAGGGCCGATGTGCCAGTTCAACGAGCTGTACAACGGCTCGTACCTGAGGTATCGAAGCGTGGCGGACAGTACGCGGTACCTGGGGTTCAACAAGTTCGGCATGCCGATGAAGAACCCGCGGGGCCGGCAAGAGTGTTTCAACTTCATCAAGTACAACCCTCACGTGGACATCGACCACCACAACAGTCTGATGAACGCGGACATGGGCGGCATGGAGCCACGGGAGCCCTATCTCGGCTCGAAGAACCCGTCGCCGGTGATGAGGGCCACCAAGAACTCCCTGCTGCAGATCGACAGCACGAGGGAGATCATCCACACGACGCATCGTTACCGGCACTCGAATCGCTGGAAGATGCGGCCGGACGAGAAGCTCTCGGCGCCCCGAAGACGGCACGAAAGCCGTCTCTTCGTCGAGGCCAGCAAGTATTGAGCCGCTCGAGTCAGGGCTCGCCGATCAAGACTGCCTCCTCCACACCCGTGAGACCCTGAGATCAGACTGCCGAATACGCTGGTAGAACGTACGGTCGCGATGTCAGGAACCCACTGAGAACAAGCGGCATCACTTGAAACGCGCGCGCGGCGCGAAGCACGCGCTTCGATTGATCGCAACGATTAAAGCTGGCTATCGCCCTTCCGCGAGTTCCGCCTCTCCTGCCTGCCCTGCCCTCGCCTCTCTCCCCTGCCCTACCCCTCCTGTCCTGCCAGTCCTGCAAATCCTGCCGGCTCGCGCGAGCCTTCCTCGAAACGTCCAACTCGACTCCCTCGGGCCTCGGGCCTCGGGAACGGATCGAGGTGACCGATTATCGGTGCCTCGATTACCGAGCCCCGACTCCAGACTCCCGACGATCTTCCCGATCGGAAATGGGCACGAAAAGCGGGAGCCACTGCGGCGGACCAGCAGGAACACGATCTTACCTGATAGAGCTTTCGTTACGCGTCGTTAGATTCTATTTCACACTTGCCCCGACTGAATCCTTTCAGGCAAGTTACGCGCGCTACCATTAATTTCCCCGTTCCATTCCGTTCCATTCCGTTCCATTCAGTTTCGTTCAGTTTCGTTCCGTAGCTGGAAACTTATCTCTCCATTGGTTGACACCGATCCGTGTCCCATCGCACGATCATTTCTCCTCTCTTCATTTCCACGAATCGTAATATGCGTTTCTCGCGCGCGCTCTCGAGTTAGCTCCGCACGCTCCGGACCAAGAACGGGAAGCGAACACAAACGGTCCTCGAGGGGAGCGCGAGCACGTTGGAAAGCAGGGCTTGAACATTGTTGTGTCGCGGTAACAAACGTCGGTTACGCTTCTTGAAACGGTCACGAGCAACCGGAGCAAATATAATATATATATATTTCTTTCGGTCGAATCTCTTTTACGGGAAAATCGAGAGTTTCGTCCGTCCGCTTCGGTCGCGAGCTTTTATTTCCGATCGTCGTGTCGGTTCTATAACAGAATATGCTCGCACGATTGATTCTTTCGTCGATTTCTCTGCCGTCGAGGCGCGTACATACGTCTGTATACACAGTTTTCGCAGAAATTATATATTCGAGAGAAAAGAGAAACGGTTACACACATATCATTGATTTCCGACAGAGCGTCGAGATTAATAAGACGGGAACGTGTTTCGCAGAAACTGACGTTCCCGAAGCTCCGATTTCTTCCGAAAAATTCGAATTTTTCATTTTATCCTTTAACTCGTTGCACTCGAAGCTGTTTTAACTGTGAATCTAAAATAATTTTTCTGATTTATAGTATTTTCATTTTGTACGACAAAGCGCATTTTATGCATGCGAAATTGAGTCTTGCGACTTACACGACGGTTACACTTTTAACAATTTTTTAAAATCTAAACTTTCTTAATGTAATAATCATCTTAGAACGTGATATAACAAATTCCAGTGGTTAATATTCGCGATAATTCTTTAACTGCCGTTTTGAGAAGCCATAGCTCCGAGAAGGTACGCGTGCTGCGATATCGTTGAACGTTAGAATTTCGAAAACTTGCTTCGACACGGATTTTCTACATTCTCGAAACTCTCGAAAATTGTACGAAGAACGATCGATCTTTCCATTAGGAAAGATTTAACGTTAACTTCTATTTCATTCTATATTATCAAATACAAATGTAATATGAAAATTGAAGTATCAGAATTGAATTTAAAATATGCAAACTTGAACGGATCGGTGATCGTGTCGCGTTGTCCGTCTTTCTCGACGAGCGGCGCAAGTTCGAAATTTCCCGTGGAGAAAAAAACGAGACGTCGAAAGGAAGCTTCGATACACGGCGAGCGTAGAATCGAGAGAAATCGACGACGGTTACACTTTTAACAATTTTTTAAAATCTAAACTTTCTTAATGTAATAATCATCTTAGAACGTGATATAACAAATTCCAGTGGTTAATATTCGCGATAATTCTTTAACTGCCGTTTTGAGAAGCCATAGCTCCGAGAAGGTACGCGTGCTGCGATATCGTTGAACGTTAGAATTTCGAAAACTTGCTTCGACACGGATTTTCTACATTCTCGAAACTCTCGAAAATTGTACGAAGAACGATCGATCTTTCCATTAGGAAAGATTTAACGTTAACTTCTATTTCATTCTATATTATCAAATACAAATGTAATATGAAAATTGAAGTATCAGAATTGAATTTAAAATATGCAAACTTGAACGGATCGGTGATCGTGTCGCGTTGTCCGTCTTTCTCGACGAGCGGCGCAAGTTCGAAATTTCCCGTGGAGAAAAAAACGAGACGTCGAAAGGAAGCTTCGATACACGGCGAGCGTAGAATCGAGAGAAATCGACGCGGAGATCGCAATCGTACGAGCGGCAACCGAAACGGATAAGAGTCAGAAATTTCCGATCGTTCGTAATATCGATACCGTAGAAAGATTCGTCGCGCAACTGGTTTACGATCCGACTCTGTACAGAAGAAGAATTTGAAACAGTTATTTTCCTAACCGTTTCAAGCCCTGTTAGCAACTGTGGACTGTAGACAGAAGCCCGACGGCCGACCGGCGCACGGTCGTTTAGCGTTTTAGGTGGAGGACCTACTACACCTTAGCGATCGGCCTAAATCGTTGCACAATCGGACAGCTTGTGCTTCAACTAACTATGTCGGACCGCAATAAAAGCACGGAGAAACGCGCGTCACTGGAAATGCTTTCCTCGGCTTCGATCGTGGAGCGATCCAGCGATCGTTGCGCGATCGTCGCAGCATAAATCGCGAACCTTTTCGAATCATTTCGAATCATTTCGAGCCGTTTCTCGAACATTTTGGCGAACCGCGTCGAGACGCCGACGGATCGACGTTCGGATTCGAAGGAAGAAAGAAAGCATTTCCGGAGAAGAACGCGACTCTCCCGCGCGTTCGCGCGTTCGCGCAGTAGAGTGCCGCCCGCGTACGACTCTCTCGCTCGCTGTGCTAATTACGCCGCCTAATGTAGCGTGCGTGCGTGCATGCGTGCCTGCTTACATGCCTGCCTGCTTGCCTGCTTGCTTGCCTGCCTGCCTGTCTGCCTGCCTGCCTGCCTGCCTGCGTGTATGAATAATGTGTGCGTGCTTGCGTACGTGCTCGCGACGTACACGCAGTTCTCACCGTCGCGTCGATGTTGGAAGCTCGCGGTGCGGTCGCTTCAGAATCGCTATTTTATTCACGACTGCTCCCAATCACTGAAAACTTCTCACCGGGAATTGGTGAATTGACAATTCCGCTGGGAGAATCTCCGACTCCCAGATATGGAACGTTGAAATAGGCTTCGAGACCTTCTCGATCGGACGGTCGCGAGAACGAGATCGGGATCGAGATCGTAATCGTAATCGTCGCGCGGCGATCTCTCCACGATAGAATCTTGTTTATACGAAGTTGGAACACGAGGCAGGATTAAACTGGCCCGATGGGTAGGTCCAATGGTAGAGGTTTGCCAATTGTTTCCAGCTCCTCTTTCGATTCCGATTAATTGGAGCCGATCTGCGGAAAAATTTGGTCGATCGAATTTCACTCTCTCTCCCTCTCTCTCTCTCTCTCTCTCTCTCTCTCTCTCTTTCTCTCTTTCGCTGGTACCTGTGTCTTCGTAGAACTGATAATACACTCTGGACCGCGGTTCGGATAATAGAGGCTCGTGCATTTCACACCCGTACACAACCGACCGTAGAATGTGCCCGTTCGGATGGGCGAGGTTCTATCGTGTGTATCGTCAGTCGAGAATATTTCTCTCTTTTTTTTAGACGTCGGTTTCGAGCCGAACGGCAGACTAATGTTCGTTTCCTTACGCTCTCTTTGTCCTTGTTTCACGTTCTCTTGCCGAATGACATTTTCAACACACACGCACGATGCGCATTATGTACTTTGCAACCTGAAACACACACATGTACACATACATCGGGATTCACGATATGGTTTATTTATTATAGATGATAGAGGAATGACCGCGGTCAAATTGCTATGAACACAATTTCAGATCGACGCTCGCGTTTCGAGTTTGATTAGCTTTTTTAATCACGGCTGGAACCTTCTTGTAATTTTAGATTAGGGATTTTATTTTCGTTCGTGATTTACACGAACGGAGAAATGAATTTACGAACAGTATTAAGGAAAGATGAAGACTTTCATTTTTATAGTTGCAAACTTGTAATTCGAGCAGAAATTTCATTTTATTATTCGAGATATATATATATATATAAATGAAACGTGTCGTGTTGTGTGTTTGTTGACGCGTGACAATGATCTAATACTAATTGTAAGATACGTTGGCTTTCAAATGTTTCATAGAAAAAAGAGTCGAGAACTCTGAGCATTTGGTTTGTTAAGACTTTTATTTACTTGTTCATCGATTTTTCTGCCGCGACACAGTTCAATTTTGTAGGTGTACGCGAAGAACAACGGAAACATTTCATTTTTTTCCAGCTGTTCATAAGAATTTGATCACTCACTGGAAATCGAAGTTGAAATTGGGCTAAAATACAGAATTGCCCTCCACCGAATTTTTGCTCGAATAGAAATAAAGATAAACGATGAAAAAAGAAGTGAACTGTATATCGATTTCATTTATTTAGACGCGCTTGTATTTTCGTTGTCACGCGTAGATTTTTCTATTTTCTTCGGTTCATCTACAAAGTTTTTCCAACTTTGTCGACTTACGTTTCTTCGACGAGTTATTTTTATAAGGAATCCAATGATTTTCATGCTTTCTAAGGATCTTCCAACGAGTGTATGTATTGTAGAAAATTGCCACGCATATATTATTTAATTGTACAAATTCTATACGAATTTCGTGAAACTGAAATAGCTTCCTATTTTTCGTTTTCTTGTAATTCCTATTCGTTTCTTTTTACCGAATTGAGAACTTGTTACCTTGAATTTACTCGGATTTGGTGTGCAAGGATTATCGTGATGAGGCAATTCTATACAGTTACCTGAGATGAAAATTGACGGGATCTCGGTCTAATCGACGTTATCATCGGTTTCGATCCCCGTTTTATCGTGATTCAACCAAATCTTGTTCGCCAAAATGAAAAACACGCAAACGATACAAGTGCAAAAAAAGAAACAAATACAAAAATACGAGGAAGGACATATATATATATACAAGAGTTACACGTACACAAATGAAAATACAAGCGCGGCCACATAAACAGAAACACAAATGCAAACACGGATACACAAAACACACGAAGGACACCCCCGACACAGTCTACCCGTTTCGAGTTTCGAGTAAAGGAAAAACAATCGGTCTACATAAGAAGAAACAAACGAGATACGATATACATATATTTTTAGTAAACCTACGGCAAAACGAAGTTTCGGGAAAACGGACGAACAATAAAAACGGGATCTCCGAGGAATTTTATACAAGATTATACCCTCCGACAAATAATAAACGAGATTACTTTCTATCGCGACCACGCGTCGCGTCGAAACGTTGTCATTTTCACACAGAACGTCTATTTTCTGATAGGAGTGAGAGAGTAACAAGAGAAAATATTTAACCGAGATTGTATATCGGCCTTAAACTGCGTGTTCGTGTACGAGCTTCTGTATTTGTGTGCATTTCCGCGGTGCGTATGTATTTACCTATGGACGCGTGTGAGTGTGTGTAATATATTAACATGATCGTTATTGAATTTAACCCTTAGGACGCTATCGCAGACTGTATTACTAGGTTAGGTACACGATTATATGACGCGGTGGCGACTCGACGCGACGCGACGAGCCGAGTCAGGGGTGAGTTCCTCCCGATTTCGGTGGCGCGTGTCCCGCTTTGTCCTGTGTCTTGGGCCGAGTCGATCGGAATAACGGAACCTACGGAAGAACGAGAGGACACGCGGAAAGATCGACGAAACTTCGGACGCATAAAACCACCCCTGAGTCGCTTAGTTCTCGACAGACTCGCCACGCAAGGAGCTCTATTCTCCCGAAAAGAAATCGCTCCCTAGGTAGCTTATTTATTGAAATCACGTTTAGACATTTACGGAAAACCAAACCGCCCGAGAAAAACAATTACCTTTTCCTCGTACGTGTATGGAAATGTGCGCTGCTCTCTTTTATTTTACTCATTCACGAATCATCTCATCCTCGCGCGCCACCCTCTCCTCTAGAATTTACTTTTCTACGTTCGCCGAGATCATTCACGCTTCCCCCCATTCCCCCTCAACCCTCCCACCGTAGACGTTCCGATGCTCTTCCATCCGATCACTCGTAGTCAACTTTTGTTTCACGAGTCCTCTCGACCGAAT